AACGATCTCGTCAACCCTGATGATGTCGTCAACGAGATCAAGAAGATGGGTGGCAAGGCTGTTGGCGCCAAGTTCTCCGCCGAGGACGGTGATGCCGTTGTCAAGGCTGCCATTGATGCCTTTGGCCGCATCGATATCGTTGTGAACAACGCTGGTATCCTCCGTGACAAGGCCTTCAACAACATGGACGACTCCCTCTGGGACCCCGTCATGAACGTCCACGCCCGCGGTACCTACAAGGTCACCAAGGCTGCTTGGCCCTACTTCCTCAAGCAGAAGTATGGCCGTGTCCTCAACACCACCTCCACTTCTGGTATCTATGGCAACTTTGGCCAGGCCAACTACGCCGCTGCCGTAAGTTCTGATGCACCCTGATTGTAGATGGCTTCCGCTAACATCCACAGAAATGCGCCATTCTTGGCTTCTCCCGCGCCATTGCCCTCGAGGGTGCCAAGTACAACATTTATGTCAACACCATCGCTCCCAACGCTGGTACTGCCATGACCAAGACCATCCTTCCCGAGGAGCTCGTCCAGGCCTTCAAGCCCGACTACATTGCTCCCCTTGTTCTTGCCCTCTGCTCCGACAAGGTCCCCAAGAACCCCACTGGCGGTCTCTACGAGGTCGGCTCCGGTTGGTGCGGTCAGACCAGGTGGCAGCGCACCTTCGGCCACGGCTTCCCCGTCGACGTTCCTCTTACCCCCGAGGAGGTCGTCAAGCACTGGAACGATATTATCACCTTCGACTCCCGCTCCGACCACCCCGAGAAGGCTTCTGACAGCATCGAGAAGATCATGGCGAACATGGGGAACCGTGCTGGCGAGGGCAAGGTATGATTTCCCTCCTCCTTCCTGATGCCACGAAAAGAATATCATGTAATTTTCCTTTTTCATGTAAAATAGCCATATATACCTAGTGTAGAATATCTTGAATGACTGTTAACGACTCATTTTCTTGTCATGTAGTCTGGCGCTGCCGAGAACGAGCACCTTGCTGCCATCAAGAAGTTCACCGGCGTCGAAGGTAAGGGCACCGAGTACACCTTCACCGAGCGTGACGTCTGCCTCTACAACCTCGGCATCGGCGCCAAGCGCACCGACATCAAGTACATCTTCGAGGGCAACGAGGACTTTGAGGTCGTCCCCACCTTCGGTGTCATCCCTCCCTTCAACACCGAGATGCCCTTCTCCTTCGACGACATCGTCCCCAACTTCTCCCCCATGATGCTCCTCCACGGTGAGCAGTACCTCGAGGTCAAGAAGTACCCCATCCCCACCTCCGGCCGCCTCATCTCCAAGGGCAAGCTCCTCGAGGTCGTCGACAAGGGCTCCGCCGCCATCGCCAAGCAGGGTATCACCACCTACAACGCCGAGACCGGCGAGGAGCTCTTCTACAACGAAATGACCGTCTTCCTCCGCGGCTGCGGCGGTTTCGGCGGCCAGAAGAAGCCCACCGACCGCGGCGCCTCCACTGCCGCTAACAAGCCCCCCGCTCGCTCCCCCGACGCCGTCGTCGAGGTGCAGACCACCGAGGAGCAGGCCGCCCTCTACCGTCTCAGCGGCGACTACAACCCCCTCCACGTCGACCCTGCCTTTGCCAAGATGGGCGGCTTCAAGGTGCCCATCCTCCACGGTCTTTGCTCGTTCGGTATTGCCGGCAAGGCTGTGTATGAGAAGTTTGGCAAGTTCAAGAACATCAAGGTCCGCTTTGCGGGTACTGTGAACCCGGGCCAGACCCTCGTGACGGAGATGTGGAAGGAGGGTAACAAGGTTGTGTTCCAGACGAAGGTGAAGGAGACGGGTAAGTTGGCTATTGGGGGTGCGGCGGCTGAGCTTGCTTAGATGAAGAAGTAGGGATGAGTGTGTAGTGTAAGGGTATGTTATGGAAAAGTAATGGTGGGTTTAGGAATGGATTTGGGATTTTGGTTTGGAATAAGCGATTCTTTTTGAGAGGTTATGAATACCAGTTTCTTGTATATCAGTTGTTGTTGTTGTGTGTTAAATCGAAATGTGATCGGAATGCGATGTGGCAACATGATACTCTTATGGTCAACTCCTGCAACTCCAGACAGTGACACTCAACGATGTACGATTCTTGTCACACTGGCCACCAGCTGTTTGGGGTCCAAACGGTCTTTAACTTGCTACCAAATGTCGATTCTCGACAAACTTATCTACCTCGCGAAACAAGACATAAAACTTGTCCCCCTGGGATACCATAGTGTGCCCCTTGACACCTGGGTAAGCAATAGCCAGAGCTTGGACACGTCCTACACTAGTGCGTATAGTCTTGCGATCAGGTCACGGATCTTCTCTCTTCTTTTTTCACCTTCTTTCTATGGACAACAAACTCATACCAATTTCAAATTCCCCTTTCCGCACAACCTCGCTGGTCTTGGTGAGCCGGTCTTGGTGAGCTGGTCTTGGCGAGCTGGTCTAGGTGAGCTGGTTCTTGGTGAATATTTATTACCCACCTCGCTATCCACCTCGTAGTCAGCTGGAAAGAGGGCTGAGAGGGCTGAGACATTAGGAAGTTAGGAAGTTGGGAAGTTGGGAAAGGCCGAATGGGGTAGTTGGTCGGGAACATTGCGCCCTCCGACTGAGGCGAGAACAGCGAAGGCTTGAACTCGCTGTACGTCCTCGATTCATCGGTGAGGTTGGTCTATGGTCAACGGCGATGAGAAGGGGACGCAGGAGAGTAAACTTGCTATATCTCTTTGATCTATGCTTGAGATCGGTGGTTAAGTATAGGTAGCTGGGGTGTGCCTCCGGTCCCTAGGGAAGGGGATGAAAGGTGATGGGGGGTAAGAGGAGAGAAGATAAAAGAAGCTGTACTCCCTTAACCCATCTGGGCCATCCCTGAGGATGGTCAGCGGCAGTCGGAAGGAGACGCAAGGCATGAACTTGTTATACCGCCTTGATCCATCCTCGATATACCTGAACAGCAGTAGTATACAAGGGGTGGATTGGACTCCTCCCCTCCGTTAACCTAAGGGCCAGGAGGAGCCTGAGAACTGGGAAGAAGAGTGCCATGTCAATCCTCCCGTCCCCAACCAGACCAAGACCAAGCAGTCTTAACCCAAGAGCAGAGCAGACCTCCCATTTCTTGCTCAAGAAGAACACCAATTCAACGGGAACTTCGCTTCCAGTCCGAAACCAAGCGATGCACGTTCTCCTGGACAGCCATGAAGGAGTCCTCATCGGCACATATCCCCGCAACCATCCATGGCCATGAGGGAGTTCAACGGCACGTTCTCGGGCTTGCCGGGAGAGGACCCCGAAGAGTACCTTGAGGACATTGAGATCTACGTCGACCGTTTGAAGCTCAGCACTTGAAGAGCTGGGTGACGAGCCGCCGCATATGGGTGAAGGTTATCGCGGTGATCCCCCAGGTAGGGCGGAGCCCAGATTTCGGTGCGGGAGTCGACGTACGTTGCACCGGAGGCAAGTGGGATCGGAGGAAGCAGCTGAGTGGAGAGCTGTTAGCGATCATGTCATTGCGACGAAGCGTGGGACATTGGCTGCGGTCACGACGGCAGCACAACCAATCGTTGAACTCCTTCTCGAAGGCCTCGAGAGTCAAGACGTCCATAGACCAATTTGACCAAGGCATTGGCGATACGATCGGTGCAGCGCAGACAGGGCTCGGGCTGGCTTGTCCCTTTCGGTCTTCATATCTATCTCTGAAGCTGTATTGCCTCGCTCCGTCCCTGGGCGGGAATTGGTCAGGTTGGTGGGGAGGGAACGGAAAGGATGAATTCGTTATACCTCCTTGATCTGTCCTAACTTCCCAGGTGTGACTGGTCAAAGTATCCTCTTGATCCTCCTCCGTGTTGTTCAAGATGGGTTGCTACTTGCTAGGGTGGTGAGGAGAGAACAGAAAGGGATAAACTCTTTATATCTCCTTGATCCATTGTCTTCGCTCTTTATCCCATCCCGTCCTTTTGGTCGAATGTCAATAACAAAAGGTCGTTTCGAATCAGTGGCAGAGGCCGGGTTGGGGTCAGGGAGCGCAAACCAGACCGAGACGAAGCAGATGCGCCGGTCTCCGTCCGGATCCAGCGTCCAGTCCCTTCTCAATATCAGTCATCTCCCTCGTCTCCCAAACCTTCCTCCTCCGTCACCATTCCGTTCCTGCGGTGGCTAGTCCCGTTAGCCTCAACCGCCACACCCGGCCTGGGCCAGCAGCCAGCCAGCCAGCCAGCCAGCTCGGCAACCAATACTAGTCTTACCGACAACCGCATGCTTCCTCAACGCCACATACCAGTCGCGGAAGGACCGACAGGGTAGGATCTGAACGCAGCGGACAACATGTCTTGCATCTTTCGCCTTTCGCCCTTCGCCCTCCGCCTTGCAGCAGTGCAGCTTGTGCTCAGGCCGAGATATGACCCACGCCCCACGGCGATTGCTGCTCCTCGGGCATCTCAGCGGTGGAAAGCCGGGAGGGCAGCACAGTTGAGATGAAGTCCTGTAGGCGCTTGGCGGCTTCGATGGCCGTTAGGATTTGGGTGCCGGTGCGCAGTGTGGCATCATGGTAGGGGTCGAGTAGGCCGTTTGCCAAGCTGTTTTGGATCGTGGTTAACTGGCCCTGGATGGATGTAGTGGCAGAGTCTTGGAACTCGAGTGACAGCCATAGTGGCGATGAGTAGAGGCCCCCGTCCGGATCTCTTCTTTCTGGCGAGTGTATATCGACGGCCCTGCTGGTGTTGCTGCCGACTATGCCAATGTTCCCGACGCCCCGGCTCCGGTCGATCCCGCTAATATTACCTTAGCCGATCTTTCGGCGGCGATCTCGGCCCTTTATCTCGATTTCCGACGTCTTCTCCCGGCTACCGTCTCTCCTTAGCCCTATAACGGTAACGCCCTGGTCGTCGCCAACGGTAGTAATGGCATATCTCCCCAGCCGCACGCCGACAATACTCTAGTACATGTAGTCGCCGGTGCCCCTACCGGAGACATCATTGATTTGGAGGACGACGATAATAACGCTTAGATGTTGACATTTGACTGGCGGAATGGTACCGCGCAGGACTCCGGGTCCTGAGGTTACGGGTTCGATTCCCGTGTCAAATGTCTGCTCTTTGGCTGCTATCGTTCGACGGCGCGCCTCTTGTCCTGGGAACGTCTTGCTGTCTCGGAAATGGAGTAAAATAGAAAATCTAGCATGGACGGAACTCACTGGCCCTTATTCTTCCCCTCCGTTAGTTAGCAATCAATGTGACTTCCCACGTACCTCGTTGTTCCTCCCTCTGTTTTTTCGTGTATTGACTTTACTCTTGTATTAATGACTACGAACGGGGCTTGAGAGACCTTGGTATATGCCGGCTTTCCAAGGCTGCAACGACAACCGCCCTGCTTCAGTGCTGCTGCCTCTGGCCAGTTGCCACGACCTCCACAGAGAACGACCCTACCCTCCCTCTACTATCGATGTGGAAGTAGAGCCAGAATTCGAAATAGAATATAAGATGGTGATACTTGGCCTCAACCTACCAAAAGTTACAAGGGAAAAGTGAAAGATTGACCCAATGTTTGCTACTCTGTCTCGGGTGGCTTGCTGTCCTGCGTATGTATATCCCTTATGTTCGTGTTCCCAGATACGTGGGAGCTTGTAGAGGCTGACCCGAGGGGATCAAGAAGACACAGGAGAAGGATGTAGACTTGTGCTGGTTTATCTTCCAATAAAGAACCGGGTCTCTCCCTTGTGCTCTACCATTACCACTGGGTCTCTGTCGAGCTCCATGTTCTGCTTCTGATGGACATTTTGTAGAATCTGTGTCATCCGAACATGGGAAGATCTTGAGAGGATATTGGCTCGTCGAGGAAACTCGGAGTAGACTGGATGAAAGAACTGACCAAGGACAATGCCGCTTCTCTGGAAGACGCAGAATATTCTGGATGCTAAAATACGGGCTGCAAACGTGTGACTGTGGTTCTTTTGGGTAGAAGCTAAGGTGTGGGATTGGGTGTTGTTAGGTATTGATGCTGGCTGTCTTGGTCGGTTCGCCTTGGTGTAGATCTCGCGTCCCGCGCGGTTGTAAAGTAAACAAACTTCCCTTTTCAGGGTGTCCCCCTCAATCGACACAATACCCCCTGGGGTGGATCGCCAATGAAATACGGTTTGCAACCGTGTGACTGTGGTTCTTTTGGGTAGAATCAAACGTGTGTGATTGGTTGTTCTGCTAACTATCTGATCCTAACGGTCTCTCACTGGGCGACAGCAGCAGGATCAGCGGGTGCAGCTTGTTGCTGGTGGGCTTGGAGTTGCCTGGCTCGAGCTACCGCTTGCCATTTGGGTAAGATTCTGTTGGGTATGGCGCGCGGCGTGTTGTCCAACGGTTTGGTTGTTGGCTTCTCTCCAGTCGAGATGAGTTAGAACTCTTGCGTTTTGAGCGGCTTGGGCTTGATGGTGGGAGTCTTGGATGCCATCTGCTGGGACGGGTTGGCCATGGGTTCCTTCATGCTGCTGGGAATGGGCTCAGGTGTCACGAGAATGGTCTACTCTTGCGCAACGGGCTGCTTGGAGTACGCAGAAGTCGCATGATCACCCATGATATATGCATACCACTAAACACGAATCACCAGGGCCGGAGACTTTTACATCTTCATCATAGCTATTTGCCTTTTCTATAATCACACTTCCCATATCTCTCCTCGCATTCCCCATTCCACGATCACCGCGCATCATAGCCTACAAACTCAGTTACAATCAACCCATTATCAAGATCTGGTCTTCCTACTCCTGAGGACTGCCAGTCGAACCCGAATCAGCTGGACTGCATGGCACCAAATCGGGGAGATCGTCGTACACAATGCCCGCCTCTTTTTCCAGCCGGCATATAGCCTCTGCCATTTGCTGCAAGATGACTCCGGTAGTAGGCTTTGTGGTTGTGTTGGGTCCACTCGTGGAGGAAGCAGAAGAAGGCAAAGTAGTTGAAGCGTTTGGTTGTTGGTGAGGTCTTCCAGCGCCCGACCTCCGAGTAGCCATCCGATCCATCATCTTCTTCAAGTCAAGCTCATCCGCATCCTCGCATAGGACGCAGCCGTGCCAGAAGCTGGTAACGGGAAAATGTCTGGTCTGTTCGAAGATTTCCATGCACCTTGGATGGACCGGGTGTGGGCAGAAACCGTACTTCTGCCGGTCGGTGGGGGTCATGGGCTTAAAGCAGAATGTGCATAACGGATCTGGGTGTCCGCCGGCGGTGAAGTGGCGGTATAAGTGGCTGAACTGGAAAATGTCGCCAAGCTCAGAGGGAAGGAATGAGGACTGCCAGCGTAAGGGCTCCGGGCAGTTTAGGAGGTATCGGAGAACGTCTGTCAAGAAGTAAAGGGTTAGCAGTCGCTCACAGGGTAAACATCAAGACGGGTATAAGGAGATGGGGTACGAACAGATACGGTGCGGGCAGGTATAACCCCTTGTGGTGGGCGTCTTCCCGTACCCTCTCCCACCGCAGCTGCAGTTGACCTCGTCGCTGACAACCACAGTAATGCGATCTTTACCGTCCGACGTCAGCGTGAAGGTCTTTGACCAGATCTCGGGTCCCAGACCGCTGAAGTCTTGAATCCGGATTAGGCGCAGGGTCATGGTCTCAGCTTCCCCCAACGCCGAGAGGTAGACAGAGTCAGTGCCGTCCGATCGCCAGCCACCGTAGCGGGATGTCTTCTGAGGTGGGTTGCGGGTGTATCGGTAGTTCTTGAGGAGTGTCTCAAGCTCCTTTCGGTGTCCAGTGGTGAAGGCTAGTTTCCGCTTCTCGCATTGGAATTTGAGGACTTCAACGCTCTTCTTGGACCAGGCGGTATCGTCCGGAAGGTAGTTCTCGAGAGTACGTTCGGGAGGCATGGTGGTGGATTGGTGGTTAAACGTCGAGGTACAGAGAACGTGAAGATGGTGTACGAAAGTTGTAGAAGTAAAAAGTCGCTATATACAGATGGCTACTAGCGCTAGCGAGTTGCTGGTGGTCAAGCGTCGAGTGTCAACGGTTGTATAAATGAGGGAATGGTTCCGACAAGCTGCCGGTGACAAGAGGGGTAGAGGTCTTGTCGAAGGATGTAAGGAGGTGGCCTAGAAGGCAAGGCCGTTGGCGGACTGGTATTTATACGCTCGGATGACTGTATCAAGACGGAGGCCCGGAAGCTTGGATTTTGGCTCAGTCGAATCGTTTCCCCTTTCTTGTTGTTGGCGATGTTGATGTTCGGTTTGCGCCGCAAGCAAGTTTTTACGCCGTGGACAAGGTTTTTGTTCCGAAAGTCCAACAGCCGTGACAGCTGATTGCGCACAAATGTTGCAAGTCTCCTAGTAGAGAGGTTGATGTACGTTTGCGGGCAAGTCTGCTTGTGGCGCTGGTCTTGTCTCAGTCGCGATGGTTGACCGAGTTCTGGAAAATGGCTGAAGGCAAAAGGTCAGCCACGTGGAAAGAATGGATTGCGTGGAAGTAGGAAGGAGGAGGGACAGCAGCCGCAGATGGTCAGCCCTGATCAAATACTCGATTTGACAGGCAGTGAACTGGCATTTTGTGAGTGTGAGTTCCGTGAAGGAGTGCAAAGGCAACCTGGTCCAGTGAATGCTCGGGACAATGGGTGGACTGGACTACTGGCTGGTGACATTGAAGACAGGTGAATGGAAAGCAAGGAGGCTAGCTAGTGTTGAGGTCCCATACACACGCGAATTGCGATGGGAGTGAAGGGGAGAAAAGGGAAGGAAAAATGCAAAAAAAAAGAGCTATTCTCCTCATACCCACCCCTAAATCTCGTTACACCCTCCCTATAATTAGGTCCCATACAAAACCCCAACCCTTATACCCTTTGATAGCCGATATCACCTATATGTAAAAATCCCCGTTTTACCCGCTAAAACCCCATACTTTGCATGCACGTCACATTTCATGAAAAAAAATCGGGTCATAATAATTTTTAAAGTTTTGAAAACCGCGCACACGCACGCACATAGTAATATCGCCTACAATACTACATTATAATAACGTATCGATTAAATATTACAATTCTATTACCTTAAAATATATTATATTATTAAAGTCTATTAATATTATTATTTATTTAATTAAATAAATATTATTTATTATCCCCTTTCGCTATTTAACGCTAAAATTAAAGTTAAAAGTAGAATTATCTACGCTATTATCCCCCGCGCTATTAAATAATATTATTGCGATTTTCGTATTAATTATATTATATAATCGCGAATTATAATACGTCGATTATACTTTATTTATTATTATTTAAAATACCTTCGATAGGGCGTTTAATAAATTAATTAACTTCTACTATCGTTATCGGTTTAGAATTATAATTTTACGGTCCGATAAATATAAAATTCGCAACCCCTAATACCTTTTCTTCGAAAAAATTAACTATTATATATATTAATACGATTATACTGCCCCGAATCCCTAAAATTCGACTAACCTTCGTAATAAACGATTTTATACTTCCTATAAAAAAATAGACCGCTACCCGTTTCGATTATTCGTTAACGCAATTATTATTAATAATTAGAAGTAATTTATTAAAATAATAAATAATATATATAACGGTTATTTATTATTAAAGAATTTTAATTATTATCTTTTTTTATAGGAAAGAACGTTGTATTTAAATATACGGGCTATATTATAAGTAATTACCCTCTTCAAAAGATAGGAATTTAATATTTACTCTATTTATTTATTAATTAAAAAAAAATACCCGTAATATCCTTTAACGTATAAAAATATTACTAATATACATAATCGGTTAAAAAAGTCGTTATAGGAAGGCTACTAAAATATATAAATATTTATTCGCTCTTTCGAAAATAATAAATCGGTTATTTATTATAATATTAATTAAGATAATAAATAAAAAATTATACTTTTTAATACGTTTTGGGTTTTAAATCGCTAGCGTAAAATATAATAACGCAATCCCTTTATTATTTCGATCGACGCAACGTATAAAACTAACCGTTATTATTTAACTATAATATAAAATATAATTTTAACTTATAAAAAAATTTCGATATTTATTTTTCAAATAATTTTAAATAATAAAGGTATTAAAGGATTTATATACTTTATTAC